GCAGTGCTTCAATATCTAAGGGGCTGCCAGAAAGTAGAGGGAGCCATGCTATTCTCCAAAGCACCTGAGGGCAGGACAAGAAGCAATGGGTGGAAACTAATGGAGAGAGCCAATTTAAAAATAAGGAGACATTTCCTGACAGAACAATTAACCAGTGGAACAGTTTGCCTCTGGAAGTTTTGACTGGCATCTCTGGGGGGTGGGTTCAAGAAGAGATTGGACAGCCATTTGTCTGAAATGGTATAGAATTTCCCGCCTGAGCAGGAGATGACCTCCAAGGTCCCTTCGGTTATTCAATTAATTCAAAGTTTGATTGTTAAATTTAGAAATCTGAAGTGGGGTGATAGCAAGGTTTGATCTTGGGATTTGTATGCATCCACCTTGGATAAATTATTTGGGTAAAATCGTGGGAGAAAGGCTTGCCAAATCTATTGTTGAAAAATATGAGTGGGATAGCACTCTGGAAAACAATCACTGCATTCAAAATATCCTGATAAGTAGATCAGCTGAATAACATCTAGAGCCGAATAGCATCTACTAATGACCAATGCAAAACTCTTTCCTCAGGAAACCAAAATAAAATGCACAATTATAAAATGGGAGGATTGATAAGGGGATTTGTGGAGAAGATCCTGAAACAGTCGTTGATGGCAAACTGCATATGAATTAGCAGAGTGATAAAAGGCTTTAAAAAAAATGTAGCTATAGAATTTTGCATTGGTCACTACTACGAGGTATTATTCAGCTCTGGATGTTATTCAGCTGATCTATTTATTAAGATATTTTGAATGCAGTGAAAGAAGCATCATCCCCAACTCAGTGTATTAGAATAACTTTATTGTCGCTGAATGTACACTAATCAGCATACATTAAAATGAAATTTCATTGCATACAGCTCTCAAAGGGTCATCACCTCCAATATACACTACATGTATTCTTCATTGATCCATCACTTTCAATGTTGTGTTCCTTTCTGGGCCCCACATTTTAAAGATTCAGAGAAATAGATACAGGGAAGGTTATGGGTAGTCCTCAACTTACGACTGCAATTGGGACTTGAATTTTGGTTGCAACTCCGAGGCTCCCTGTAACTCAACTCAATTCTACAACCCTTTTTATGGCAGTTGTTAAATGAATCATGTGGGCCATAAGTCCAAATCCACTTTCCTAAATGGGTATTTTTTGCCAGAAAGCAAAAGAAACCAGCAAAAAATGTCACAAATCACGCTTATTGTCAGAGCATCAAAGAAGATAAAGGGTCTGGAGGCGAACATGTATGAGGAATGGTTAAAGGAACTAGGTATGTCTAGTCTAATGAAGAGAAGGATTAGGGGTGACATGAAAACTGTCTTCCAGTAGTTGAGGGGCTGTCACAGAGAAGAAGACGTCAATTTATTCTCTAAAGCATCAGGGGGACAGGACAAGAAGTAATGGATGGAAGATTATCAAAGAGAGATCCAACGTAGAACTAAAGAGAAATTTCCTGACAATAAGAACAATTAATCAGTGGAACAGCTTGCCTCCTGAATTTATGGAGGTTTTCAAGAAGAGATTGAACCGCTATTTGTCCAGTATAGTACAATGATAGAGGAAAAGTCTCCTGCTCCAGCCAGGCATTGGACAAAAGACCTCCAAGGTCCCTTCCAACTCTATGATCTGGTTTGGCTAGGCAGAAGAGACAAGTAACAGGATGTAACTTGGATAGTCTTTTACTGTCCTGGGATGACAGTGTTGGGAACTACCGCTAGTTTCCATATATCACTGAGCTAGGATTTCTAGGGGAAAAACTTCCCACTAAATCTTGGCTTAGAGTTGCGTGTATTACAGGCAGCCCTTCAATTACAGCGTTTGTTTTGTGAAGGTATAACAGCACTGAAAAAAGCGATTTATGACCATTTTTCTCACATAGATCACGTGATCACCTTTTGTGACTTTCTGACAAAGTCAATGGGGAAGTCAGATTCATTTGACAACTACGTCACTAACCGCAGTGATTCACTTAACAACTCTGGCAAGAAAGGTTGTAAAACACACTTGTTCTGTCTTGCTTAGCAACAGAAATTTTGAGCTCAGTCGAGGACTACCTGTACCAAATTTTCAGAAACATTTTTATCCCTCATAGTGGAAAGATACTTGTAGAAACCTTGTTAACCAATGTCTTCATCTATTGTGGTGGCCAACCTCTTATGACAGCCTTTTCAACCTGTTTTCGCTTCACATGAATGGACTTCAGCTCCCAGAATCCATCAGTGAACAACACCATTGCTTCAGATGGGGCAGTGAAGGAGGCACGCGCACATGTGCAATGGAACTGAGCTGGGGTGAGGCTTGTGTGCTCACAGAGATGGTTCTGCATGCTGCTTCTGGCACACATGCCATAGGTTCACCATCACGGAGATTGGACATTGCTGCCTGGGGAATTCTGAAAGTTGAAGTCCATCCATCTTAAAAGTAGCTGAGACTGAAAAACATTGAAGTTGAAATCCAAGCTTCTCTTTGGAGAAAACTCTCTTAGGACATTTCCTTTCATCCCTAGTACATGTTACATGAAAAACAATCTGGTGATCGCATTCATAAATAAGAAGCAGGAATATCAGGTATAATAACTCTTAATTACTTCCATTTTATTCTTTCTAGTAGGTACTATGCCATAATAGTGCCAAATTTTTGTACACGTTCACCGTGTTGTGGATAAGAGTACTCGAATAAAACTATGAGGCTACTAATTGAAATGCGGCCCTGTTTTTTTATGAATCTTTGTTTCCTTGTGTGTATTTAATCCAGAATTCTAGTTTTGGGCATGCTGTGAAGTTTTTCTGTGTCTGGCTATGTCACGTACTGTGGAAATTGAGAAGTTGCACCTATATACATACAGCTAGCTTACATTTTGGGATACAAACTCCACAGATTCTTTTCCTGTTATGTGCTGACGTTTCTTCCCTTGGAGAGGAACAAAGAGGGCTAGAAGCGGGTCATACAGCTGCAAGCTGTTTTCCTCTACTTCTTGTTTCCCAGCTATTCCACCATCAAGTCTCTAAATATGTCAGAGAGATAACAGAGATGGGGGTAGATGGAGAACAGCTGCCAGGATCCCTTTTCATTTTAACTGGAGAGTCTTTCTGAAAATGAAATTATCCCAGTGTTACAGAATGGAGCATTCGGTCAACTTTCCAGCCATTCCTTGCCTAATTTTCTTATTTTGTTTTCTGTATGCCTCTAGCAAATTCTTTGCATTCCACGGCCTTTTGGCTTACTCCATCTTCAATAGACCATTTGGGAGAGTTCCTCCTTCACCTCCTTTCTTCTCTTCCTCTCGGGTTTCCCCTGGGTCTGCTTGATATTTCTCTCTTGTGGCTCAGTAGCCATATTTTGGCCGCTTTCCTAATGGCATTCCTGCTAAATTCAGTGGTAGAACGAGAATTAGATTTCCAGTATGGTCTTCATAGCTCAACGTATTCTAGCATATTCTCTTCCCAATTTTTTCCTCTTCTGTCTGTGGCCATTTTTAGTGCTGAATCCCAGAACATGCGCTTTTAGAAACCCATCTGTATCTTGAGTTGCTTTACAAAATACAGTAGACGACATACTAACTTCATTGTGTGAAAAGCCCAAGCCATCTTAAGACAGAATAATTAAAGAGAACAGTCACGCTCAGATACGGAGTGCGTCTTCAAAAGCTGGCAGTTTTTTTTAATGAAAAAGGATAACATGCATTCCTTGAAAAGAATTAAGTGTAATAAGTAGCCAGGCTCTACATAGCTCAGTGAATATGTGATTCACACCTAAGTGCCTAAGTTATAATATGTTAAGTTTGGTTTGATTTAGTGTGCTTCATGAATTTAGCTGTTAGGATCTGCAAACTGATTTTTGCATTAGTGCAAAGGTATCCAACCTTGGCAACTTTTTAAGACTTGTGGATTTCATGGCTAGCTGGGGAATTCTGGGAGTTGAAGTCCAAAAATCTTAAAGTTGTCTAGGTTGGACTTCCCTGCGTGTACATTTAGCCAATTCTAATTTGCTGACATACCAATAACCTAGGGTAATATATATATACAGTAGTAAAGCTGTGCTAAAATGGCAGGTCAGTTGAACGTCACATTGAATGACGTGGAGACCAAAGAGGCTCCTACAGGAACCAGAGGAAATCACTTGGCACACAAAGGGGCCTAACTGATTTGTGAAATCTGGGAAGAAAAACAGATTTCTGTCAGTGTGTGTATATATGTGTGTGGGAGAGGGAGAGGGAGAGAGAGAGAGAGAGAGAGAGAGACGGTCTAGCATACAGCCAAGATCAGCCAAGAAAGCTTGTGCTGCGGAACTCAATCTTGGCTTATCTCCCATTGCAGCTGTAGAGACTGGAAGGGCAGTTGTGTACTCTCAACCTTCACAGGAAGAGGAGGTCTGTTCAAGAAGCTGTGGGGAAGGAAAGGAGAAGAGCTGGAGAAGTTGATTTCAGGGTTATGTCAGCAGGTGACCTCAGAAATTGACAGAGAGGATTTATGTCCCGTGATATCTATGGTTCCACCCTTCTAGGTGACTTGATTACTTTAAGTCAAGGTATCGAGGTGTGCCTTCCATTTTCTTCCTGCTCATAACCTTTCAACTTCCTATTTAGAAGCAAAAATTTGTGACTATTCAGCATTCCACTGATCCAATTATTATTTATCCTATGTTCTCACCACGGCCTGAGAATTCACATCCCCTCCTGGAAGATAATCTACAATCTCCGATGTCCCCCCTTCCCCCAATGCTGTGCAAACTTCTCTTGCAGTCCTGGGGTTTTGTCCCCTCCTTCTTCTCCTTGTAGTAGGACATAATAGGTTGAGACAGGAGTGGCTCTTTTTGAATAAATATTCCAAGGTTGTTTGCTTTGGGCGGGAAGCTTCTCAGCAGCTTTGTTGAGGGCCATCTGTTGCATCAGAAGCAGTTAAGAAATGATGGGGAGGATTAAACTCTCATGTAGAGTTTGTGTGATTTGTTCCCTTTTATTTCCTGTCCAGGGGTTGGCAAAAGTAGCCTTCTGCTCCGCTTTGCAGATAACACCTTTTCAGGTAAGGAACTTCCTCCTGCGTTGACAATCATTGTATGGGTTGGGAGTCCCGATTCTTGCCACGCATCAAAATTGCTGCAATTTCAGTCCAGGCCAAACATCTTCGGTTTTGATGGATTCTTGGTTTTTACATCTCATTTTTAAAAGCAGTTTGCAAAATTGTAATGGGCCCACTGCAGAAGAGTATTTTAATGCAAAGATTGCGGGGGATGGGACGAGACACGGGGGACACAAGGGGACGACGGACACCAAGATAATTACACTGGTTCATGAAATGTAAAAAAAAAAATCACAGTGCCCAACTGGGCAATTGGGAGGAACAAAAATTCCACAAATCAGCGTGTGAGTGTGAGTTTCCCAGATATTTTTCTCAGGTCTGTTCCAAAGATTGTAGAAACTCACTCCCTTCTTTGTGGCACTTTAATTGGTCATAATAAAAATATTGTCCAATTGTGGATTGGGGGTTTAATTTATCCAGCCTTCTTTTATTCAGTTTTGCTATAAAAGAAGCAAATGGTGCTATCTGTTCTAATTAAATGTGTTTGTGTGCTGATTGTGTTCCCCTGCTAGCCGTGCTGTAATTGAATCCTTGCTGGTATGTTTTAGTAAAGTATTGCAACATCAATTCTTTTCAAAATAAATTCCTTCTCTTTTGTCCCTCCCTCCTGCCTTGGTTGAGTTACTTCTTTCCATTTTATTTGGCTTGTTTTCAGTGTGCAAAGTCAGACCTTAATTTGCCAGTTGCCCAAATCATTGATTAAATGACCAGGAAAAACATCTGCCAAAAATGCAGGCTGTATTGATTCTCATAGCATCTGTTTTGAGCAAAATTGCTGTATTTTTGCAGTTACAAATAGGTTGTGCCTGTAACTGATATTAGAATCCTGCAAATTCTAAGAATATCACATTCCCCTCCCCCCCCAATTTATTCAGTGGCTTCTTGACTTACAACCATTCATTTACTAACCATTCCACTGAAAAAAATTACTCTAAAACTGATCCTCATGCTTACAACTGTTGCAATGTCCTAATAATCATATGATCAAAATTCAGGTACTTGTCAGTGAGCGACATTTGTTTACAACATTTGCAGCATTCCGGGGTCATGTGAACTATCCAGTTGTTTTCCAACAAGCAAAGTCAATGGAGTGGAGGAGATGGATTTGTCTAATGACTTATGATTCACTTAACAACTGCACCGATTCCCTTAACTATGACAAAAAGGGTGATAAAAATCGGCTGCCATTCTCTTAACAATCACCTTGCTTAGCAAGAGAAGTTCAGATCCCAATTGTGGTCATAAGCCGAGGACCACCTGTATTTGGTTTTTTGAGTGCCACCATGAAATTTCTGACCTTTAACAATCCCAGCTATTGTTTATTTTTTTAATAACAATATTTGATCACACTTCTCTTTTGCAATAATGCACCAGAACATTTAGCTTTAATATTTCTGAGTTTGCACAGGAAAAAGGCATTTTTATACCATTTTCTGATTTTTTTAAAAAATTCTTCTTTCTTCCCTGTGTCTCTCCAGGTAGCTATATCACAACAATTGGGGTAGACTTCAAAATCCGGACACTAGTGATTAACGGAGAAAGAGTGAAGCTGCAAATCTGGGATACGGCTGGACAGGAACGCTTCAGGACTATTACTTCCACGTAAGTCCAGAACAGGAACTGAACAGGGGCCTGGATACTGAAGAGTGTGGACAAATAAAGGTAGTTCACAACTTAAAACCACAGTTGAGCCCAAAATTTATGTTGCTAAGTGAGAAATTTGCTAAGTGAGTTTTGCCCCATTTTACAACTTTTCTTGCCACAGTTGTTAACTGAATCACTGCAGTTATTAACTTAGCTCACAAGGTTGTTAAGTGAATCTGGCTTCCGCATTGACTTTGCTTGTCAGAAGGCCGCAAAAGGGGATCACATGAGCCATGGACACTGCAACCGTCATAAATGTGAGTCAGTTGTCAAACATCTGAATGTAAATCATGTGGCCATGGGGAAGCTGCAACAGTCATAATTGTGAAAAATGGTCATAAGTCACTTTTTTACTGCTATTGATGTAACTTCAAACAGTCACTAAGTGAACGGTTGTAAGTCAAGGACTACCTGTAAACTTGTGCAAAACGCCAAAAGATTTCTGATCTAGAATGAAAAATTAGTTTAAAATTTTGAATACTGGTAGTCCTCTATATACGACCGCACAAAGGTTGCTTCATTTTACGAACTTTCTGGTCACAGTTGTTAAGTGAATCACTGCAGTTGTTTAGTAATACAGTTGTTAAATGAATTTGGCTTCCCCATTGTCTTTGTTTGTCAGGAGGTCGCAAAAGCTGATCACACAACTCTGGGATTCTGCAACAAATATGAGTCAGTTGTCAAGTGTCTGAATTTTGATCATGTGACCACGGGGAATGCTGCAACAGTCATAAATGTGAAACGGTCATAAGTGCTGCTTTTCCAGTGCTGTTGTAATTTAGAATGATCGCTAAATGAAGTGTTGTAAGTTGAGGACTATCTATACTTGGACCTCATTGTGGGATTCTAGCCATTTTAATTTTTTTTATTACAGTATTTTAATGTTGAGGGGTGTCTTCCCTCCTTAGTTTTTATGGACACCTCAGGGCTAATCACTAAACTAAATGTAAGTCTTGGTGGGGCTACACAACCGCTTCAAAACCCTGTCGCAGAAGGGAAGAAAAAGAGGGAATTATTGAATTTTCTCTGTTCAAATCATTTCATTTTCTTTGGGTGCAGGTATTACCGCAATACTCATGGTGTCATCATTGTTTACGATGTGACAAACGCCGAGTCCTTTGTTAATGTCAAACGTTGGCTGCATGAGATTGGGCAAAACTGTGACAATGTGTGCAAGATTTTGGGTGAGTGGTTTTGTTCCCAACCTGTCTTCCCCTCATCTTTCACTTCAGTAGCCATTGCTCAAGGTTGTGAGTCTTTGTGAATCTATCACATTACATTGGAACCTTATCAGGGTAATAGAAATAAAAGAGATTTTTTCAATAGTTCTTATTCATACTGGAAAAAGAGGAAGTGATTTGTGTTTACTTCATGGTGTCCTGCTTATTTCTCAGGGGGAGTGAGATATTTTTCTTATTTCAGGAATATCCACCCTAGAAAAGTATATTCAGATGCATTGAGTTTTCAGCCTCAGCACATGTTTACAATTGCTTAATTCTTCTTGGTTGCTCTAGAAACAAACATAGCTCCAGAGATACCTCATTGAAGGTCAGCTAGGGAAACCTGATAGTCTTTATTTATTTATTGCAATAGTAGCACTGGATTTGAGGAAATCATTTGGGCTGCTAGGGTTGCATCTAGGAACAGGGCAGGTGATATTGTGCTTCCATATTCTCCTTGCATTTCAGACTATGAAGTGCTGATTTGGGACATTTGAACAAGGTTTTGTTGGGGAAAGTATTCTACCATGCCTTGGTACGTTCTTTTTAACGGGGAATGTTCCAGCTACTTTATCTTGGAACTACAGTTCCCACAGTCCTCAACAAGCATGTTAGTTAGAGCTTCTATAGGCCCCGTTTCTAGTGATAGAAAGAGTAATATACTAAGATACTTTGCAGAGTGATACAGTTGTGGATCTTCGAAGATAAGCTGCTAGATTTAGAAGATCCCCTTGCTAATGCTTGGCTGAAGCTAATCAACTGAACATTTGTCACAAGCCTTTCACTTTGATGTGAGCGATAGCTTATGACAAAAAAAAGCATTGTGGCTTATTGACTGCAGGACAATTCTTTCTTTATCTAACCCGATACACTGCCAACTATGAAAATCTCTCAGCGAGTTTATAAAAGGGTAAAATAAAAATTCAGCTGAGACATTGACATAGGATCGAACATGATGATTGGGATTCCTAGAGAAGAAAGATGATATGAATTCATTGTATTTTTATCTCGCCATTCCCTAAAAGCTCAATTGTAACAAAGATGAATATATTGCTTCTATAAAATTGATCTAAATAAAATTAAAGCTAGGTTTTTTTTAATCACATTGAGCCACTTGGCTTTATCCAAGAGATGAAGAACTAATTTCGTCATCAATTATGGATTAGAAAGCCAAGTAAATATGGAACTTTGGCTTTGCCTACCATAAAAAATGAAAGCTGGGATTAATTCTTGCTTTGTTTGCTGCATTGTTCTCTGGTGAGCCAAATGTAGATTTGGCCAAATTATAAATGGTTTGTTACCACAGCCACTCCAGTGAGTGAGAAGGCAGATTTCTTAATGAGTCATTCTTCCATCTTAAGTGATTAGTTCACAGAATTATCCTCTTTACTGTCCTTCCTCCAAAGTGTAAGACAGAGAACATACCGTTTGACATTATCTGCTTACCTGTGCCTTTTAAAATGGGAGACATCTAACAGTGGGGCATTTATTTGGACAACATATGCTGTGCCACTGAACTAGGTCTCTGTGATGAAATCCTTTTACACACGTACGGAAAAAAAACAACCCCTCTGCAGAAGTCATTAAAAGGAGCCAGGTTGAGCTGCTCAGATTAGGAGGAGTACTATAGCCTAAAGACTGTCTAATTGGCCTTAAGATGTGTTAGGTTCAAAATGAAGACAGTTTGCCCAAATTATCTGCTACCCGTGCAGAATGTATCACATAATATATTAAAGCATTTGGATTGCTTTCTTGCTCCAATTCTCCTCTTCTCCTATCCCCTCAAAACAGTGGGTAATAAATGTGAAGACCTGTCACGGAAGCAAGTAGAGTCTGCTGACGCCCGGCGGTTCAGTGAGCAAATGGGTGTGCGACTGTTTGAGACCAGTGCTAAGGAGAACCTCAACGTTGAAGAGGTAAGGGAAGAGATGGTTAGGAGGACAAAGGTGGGAAGGAAAACTGAGGCCTTCAGTGCTTCAAGAGGGGATGGCTGGAGCTTTGGGCTGGCCAAAAAAAAAACAGGTAAGAAGGTTGTTCAGTTCCCTTCCCCTTGTATATTCCATCCGTAGATGTTCAACGCCATCACCACCATGGTGCTCCGAATGAAACAGGAAAACCTGGCACGGCGGCAACAACAGAATGAGGTCGTCAAAATCAACAAGCCCAAAAAAAAGCCTTCAGTCAAGAAATGTTGCTGAAGGGGCAGCCCCTATAGATGCCTCTTCCTTTTGGAGGTTTTTTTTGATGAACTGTGGGGAATTGTGTGGGTGAAAATCATGGCTGATAAGATTTGGGGTGGCGGGGGGAAGGGCTTTTGGATCTTGATAGGAAGGGCAGGAGAACCAGTATGAATCCTCCTAGCCCTGGAATTCTTGTTTCTCTTCGCTGGGGAAGTTGAGTTGTGGGGATAGAAACACAAACTGAAGCATTGCTTTCCCTGCCTGATGATAGGTTGCGGGAGTTGTAGGCTGTACTTACAAAAAGGGGGTGTGGGGGGTGGGTGGGAAGTACTGAGCAGCATTAAAAAAAAAAAGACTACTGAAATCATTAAGGTGAATAAAAGAGGACGTGGGGCGTAGCTGAGCCCAAGGAAATTGTCCTTCTCCCCATAACTGAAAAAAAGCCTTTCTCTACAACTTTGTTTACTCCTTGTATTTTATTTCTCCACTTGTGGTCTGATAGTTGGAATTCAACTGGTATTCAAATTTAAGTCATGGTAAGACGGCTGCAGGGTGAGGGAGAAGGTGGGCATTAGATTATTTTGGAGCAAGCTCTTTCAGGTTCTGGAGCTGTGCCACAGTTTACATCATAATAGGAGGAAGTGGAAAAAACACAAGCAAAATGCGTCAGAATTTCCCAGCTGATTGTATTGAGAGTTTTCCTTCTCGTCTCTCTAGGCTTGCTCTGATTACTCTAGGTAGGAATGATTTAGGACCAAGCTACTTTGCTTTTCTCTTAGGATTTGGAATTTTCTGTTCAATTAGCCCTCTCCTTCAATCCAAATGGTGGGAGAAAATAGCCAACTGTCCATGTAGTAGGTTTAAAAAAGGACTTTGTAACCTTTGCAGCTATAATTGGGGTATCATTCAGTCATTCCGGTTTACCTCCAGAAACTGAGGAACAAAATAAGAAATGGCAGCATAAATTTTAATATAGGAATATGAAATTATATCCGGATTCAGCTGCTAAGTTGTCAACGTATGATTCCCAACTCTGAGGTATTACAGACAGACTCTGTCCCCTTTCAACACTGGGACCCTCTGTGCAATGCATTTGCTTCATTATTTTATACACACACATCTCTGTAGATATCTAAAACATCTCATTTTAACTCACTTCTAATGGCATCAGACTTGTTAAGGATATACCACTATTCAATAAAGACATTTAGATATAAAAACAATACTGCTTCTTTTATTTCCCCATTATAGCCACTCCCTAGGTACCAACAGGAAGAGATCATCATAATGCCAGCTCCTGTCAAATAACATTTGGCAGTGTAAAAGTGTCAAGTTCTCTATATCGGAAGCAAAAAGTCAAGAAAAAAAAAACCCTTACAATTCTTCCAACTTCAATGGACATTAAAAATAAGACTTCTGTGCTAATAAAGTATAAAAGTGGTTAGAATGCCCATTGTAACTCTTATTTAAAAGTATATTACAGTGTCCTGGGAAGTACTCATTAATTGCTTATTGAAAGAGAAAATAAAGTGATATAGATATTGGACTTAGTTGCAGGTATACTGTACATTATGTGGATGGAAGAGAAAGGATCAGATTATTGCAGCTGGCTGAAAACCACAAGTGCCGCCATGGTGAAGTAAAATATTTTAGTGAAATGTTTATACCAACTGATAAAGGTGCTTTTTGTTGAAAGACACAGCCAGACAGAGAAGTGAATTCGACTTCAAAGGGAAATAAAATTGGGGCTGTTGATTCATGTTTCCATTTCCTCTTGGTTTGCTACCGCTTCTAGATGGGGCTGGGCCGATGGGGGAGCCATCAGGGTCCTGATGGTGCGCAAGAGGGAGTTACTATGAGGGCTCCACAGGACAACTTCGGTACAAGGATTCCTGTGAAAATGAGGGAGGAAGCTGATTAATTGTTCATCCATTTTCCTTGTTACACTTTCTTTCCTACAAGTAACCTTTGACCTATGACTGTAATGGAGCCTGCCCATTATAGTCACAAATGGTGATCAAGCTGTTAAACAAGATGGTCTTGCTTAACAATTCCCACCCCCTGGTGTCTCTCATAACTTTGAATGGCCACTGAGTGACTGGTTATGAAGCAAGGACTATGTGTACTTCGTTAATACTCACAGAGAAAGAAACATTTCTTCAGAGGCAACGCTGCTTCCTTCGAGTCCTTCTAACGTGAAGGAAGACGGCACAAACATAGGGCAGTCTCCCATCATGAATTCACCGTCTACAATGACTGTGGTCAGCTCTTCTTCTGTACAGTTGGTTTCATCACTTGCTCCATCTTGAGACAGCCTGGGACAGAGAAGACCTTATGTGAAGAAGTCATAATATTCTGCTTCCCTGAACCCACTTTTTAAAAAAGCACAAAGCTGCCATGCTCTCTGGTACCTCCGTTGTAGCTCTTTCAACTGTGTATATGCCTGCTCCCATCTGGGGTTTTCACTGTGAACAGGGAAGCCATTAGTACTATAGATGTGGTCGTTTTCCAGGCTAAGGGAGTTAAAACGGGCAGCCATCTTCTCCTCTGACAGAAAATGTTTAGAACTGGGTTCCCTGTTGAGGTGCAGAAAGCAGTGACAATTCAGCCTTCAGTCAATAAAATCCTAGTTAGAACCAAGTAGTGCTGAGCTCATCATGGTTAAACTAACATGCCCCTTATGGAAGGTGGCACTTCATTATACACATTTCAGGAAGTTTCTGAAAACAAGAGGACCTCCAAAACACAAGATGGTCCTTATACAGCATTTCTAATAATTAATGTGGCTGCACCATACTCAGTTATGTTGTCAGGAATGTCTACACCATGATAGCATGAGAAGGTTCCAGTGTGATAGAATGCAACATGAAAGGGCAAGCTTAATTACAGCTTATTAATTGAGAGCTTGGCTACTGCTACCACTTAAGATAGTGTTGTAAACATATAGTAGGTTAACATCTACACCTCTGAACAAAAACTTGAAATTTTGGTAGAATAAGCCATCAAGTGCCATCTATATACCCAAAAATATAAAATACAAAAATGGATTGGAGCATTTTTTTGCTAATGCCTTTCTTAGCTGTAGCTCCCATTTTCCTCCATACTTACTGATCTTTGCTTTCCAGATGTCGCTTGAAAGCAAGGGATACTGACTGGCATCTAAAAAAAGAAATGAGACTTGAATTAAGAATAACTAAGATCATTCTTAGTTATTTTTGTGCCATCAACAAACTATTTTAAAATATTTTAAAATAAAATATTAATAGCCCTTAGATTTATATACAGTACTACTCATTAGTACTTTGAACTCTCAGAACAGTTTATAGTGTCAGCATATTGCCCCCAATAATCTGGGTCCTCATTTTACCCACCTCGAAAGAATGGAAAGCTGAGTCAACTTTGAGACAGTGAGAATCAAACCCCAGGTTGTGGGCAGTTAGCCTGCAATCCTGCATTCTAACAACAGTGCCTCCACAGCTGCTCATTAACAGAAGATTCCTGATACTCCCTGGCAGATTCCCACCTTATTGCTTTTGAAAACCTTAAGCTGCAAAATCTTCCCTTTGGTATCAGTTTTATATTATTTTGTTGTCCACTCCTAAACCCTTCACAGCCTAGGTACAGAATTTTTAAAATATTTGCCAAACTTAGTTATTTCAGCAGCAGACAAAGTCCTTGTCCAAGCTTTTATCTTTTATGGTTTAATTGTTGGATGCTGTTCAGTAAATGATTTTATAGTTTAGCTAAGCTGTGCTTTTAAAATGTTTTTGTGAAGAAAGCAGATTATATGGCATCAAGTTGGCATTGACTCTTTGTAAACGAATAGATTTTGTCTAAATGTAATGCATTTTGGGTGCTACTCAAAAATATTATTAAATATCCAAATAAACCTGCTGATACATAGCCTGCTGTTGTCTTCTTTGCCTCAGCCCCCTTCATCATGTTTCCTTTGAAGCAGAGCTGGGCATTTTATGGGGCCCCTGGGCCACATCCAGTCCTTTGGATGTCACTGTCTGGCCTGCACGAGGTCAATCAGAAATTAGAAATCAAATGTAAATAAGTGTATGGCCTTGTTGGTTCACAACAGTCCTGGTTTCTCACATGGCCCCTTGAGAAAATTAATTGCCCAGACCTGCTTTGAAGGAAGCTGAGCGACAAAGCCTCTAGCATGCTCTCTTAACATCTTTTCAGATGCATTAGCAGTGGTCACATGGCTAGGTGTGAATAAATGATGGATGAATTCTCCTCTATCCCAAATGTACAGAATCTGTTTATATTAATCTGAAAGCCTCACAGCATATGATTACCGAGACCTTTGTACACCACTGAAATTCACCAATCTGCGTCTGGATTTCATCCGTGGAAGTGTGCACGGCACATCACGTTTCCAGCTTGGGATGATGTTGTGGCTACAACCCATATTCCTGGACAAGACAGAGCAGTGTAAAAAATGCCCAGAAGGAACAGCTGATGATGACCCTGGGCTTATTGTAGGATTCATCTGTGAATTAAAGCAAAAGAAAAGTTAAAAAGAATCCATTTTCCAAAAGATGTAAATGTATTGAATGGGTGTCATGCTGAATTTGAGCTGAAAAAGTTAGTCAGAACTGAGTAGCGTTTGTTTTTATTTTTTATATGTAGCTTTATTAAATTTTAAAAACAAAACAAAAATAACAAAAAAGGAATAGGGGAAGAAATAAAAGGGAAATATTAAAATGTGGCAAAAATATATAAAACAAATATATAAAAAAGCAACCATTTTTCTTCAGTACAATTATAAAGTACAGTAGCCTCTAAGTTAAAATAAATATTATCTATACGTAAAAGCCTTTAAAATATTAATAACCAATAAACCTGGGTAACATTTGTATGGAAGTGTTTGAAGAAATATCCTTCTGGGTTCAGTTCCAAGGGGGAAGAAAGACGCAGGAAACACGGAGGCTGATTGGAAAGATGGTTTAATGGTGAACCCAGAACCACCAAGTAGTGTGATTCCGGGTAGCTGACTACATGGAGTGGTGTGTGAAATATATTTATACCCTCTGCTGAGATTTGAACTTGCTTTCTGTTTCTGTGGCAAGAAATGTATAACGACTGGTTGCCAAACTCCCATGGGGTCTTTTAGGGGTAACTCTGTAGGTTGTCTGTGTGCTAGGTTTGGTTGAAACTTGCTGGGTGATGCAATGAAGGGCAATTAAATGGCTTTACCTGAAGGAGGTAGATCTTTGTTATGTAGAAGACAGAATGGCCCATTAACAAAGTGTGTAGGGGGTGAGTTCTGCCTGAGTTTCTACTTCTCTTTTATGGGAAATAGTCTGCCTTTTAAATATATCCTAAAATATTTCATTTTTCTAGGAGAGGGTGGATTTTAACTCCCAACAGAAGATTTCTAGGGAACCCAAGACTGTTGGCTAAACTGAGAATTTCAAAAAGTGTTTTTAAAAAAGGCAAATTTTTTAAATGGGCCCCCAAAATCTACATGAGGCATTATCAGGAACTGACCTAAGCTCCGCTAAAAAGTATTTTCAATTTTTTAAAATAGTAGCAGAGAGTACAAGAAACCATAGAGAATGCTTAGCTGCATACTACAACCACAACTGAGCCCCCAATTTTCATTGTTAAGCAAGACAAGTGAATTAAGTGAATTTTGTCCCATTTTATAACTGCTACAGTTAAGTGAATCACTGCAGTTGTTAAGTTAGTAACATGGCTGTTAAGTGAATCTGGTTTCCTCATTGCCTATCAGAATATCACAAAAGGTAAATCACATGACCCCAGGACACTGCAACCATCACAAATACATGACAGTTGTCAAGCAGCTGAATTTTGATCACATGACCAACAGTGGTGTGAAAAATAGCCATGTCACTTTTTTCAGCGCCATTGTAACTTTGAACAGTCACTAAACAAATAGCTGTAAATTGAGGACTACCTGTATAATAAGCATGCATCCTTGGTAAAAATAAAAGACAAATATTAAAAAACATGGGCAAATTAGAGATTAATAAGAAAATGTTTATAACTTTGTTTTACAAAGAAAAATTTAAGAGTAAAAACCATGAAAAACTTTGCAAAATCCCATATTAATAAAAACATTTCAAAGCAAATAATTTATGTTGACTCTTGATTGTATCTTTTCTTTTATGTATACTGAGAGCATTTGCACCAGGACAAATTCCTTGAGTGTCCAATCATACTTGGCCAATAAAGAATTCTGTTCTATCCTATCCTATTCTAATAAAAAGGCAATTAAAATCAGATAATTGCCTTTTTGCATACAAATTATTTGGAGTATTTTTATTAAAATATGCGGTTTTGCAAAGTTTTCCTTGATTTTGCTCTTGAATTTTCCTTTGTAAAGTATTCTAAATATTACGGTTTCTTTAGAAAGCATACGCCTTGATTTTCGGAGCTCAGCAGTTCAGTTCCTGATCACAATCGACTGAAAAACACCTTGAAACTTCTTATGCAGGGAATCAGAGGGGATTTCCTTAACCCCCACTAGGGTTATCAGCCCCTTCAGGATAAGGCAAATTCGCTTTGACTGGACTTCGCTTTGCTGATACAGAACTGATTCAGTCTATAGTGGAAAAGAAAAAGAGTTCCCAGCAGGCTTTGCACCCTTTGGCAGCCATTTTTAAGGAGTTCCCGACGCCTTATAGCGCTCAATCAAGAAATTCGAATCCCAGCATGCCTTGCGCTGGCCTAATAGGCCGCCACTAGCCGAGGTGGCGTGACTATGATCACAGGAAAGGGCGTGGCTCTATCTGGGGGTGGGGTAGGGTGCCCGGTTGATCCTTTGCACGTGCGCACTGTGGAGAAGAAATTGAGCAACTAGCAACGGTCAGTGTACGCGCACGCTGCCGGGTGGGAGGCGGGAAATGAAAGAGAGGCTAGAGTGCGGACCGGACGGTAGGATGTGCGCATGCTCTATTCCATTGCAAAAATTTACTAAGAATTAAAACAATTCTTACCGTCCTTAAGGTTATTTGTCACGCTGGTCTCACAATAGTGCACCACAGCCAGACGGGAAAACTAGAAGCGCCACAATCATCACGTGAAGAGAAGTGATGCTTAATGTCAGGGATTGTGGGAAGTGTAGTTCCCTAAGAACCAACAGGCTGAAACGAGGAATCCCGTCATCCTTCGGGTTTTGCGGTCGGGTCTCTCTATCTTCGTTTTATCATGGAGATGCTGAATTGACTCGCGCCCCCTACCGTCTGCTTTGTCCAATTTGGAAATGCTGGGATTCAGGCCGCGATTTATCAGACTCGCTGGGGTAGATAGGAATTATAGTTCAGCATGGGTGAAAGCTGATTGATTAAATAGATTAAAATGCAAGGCATGTTTCCCACCATTTGACCTCCAAATTTGGGCAGGGATGAAATTTGGAAAGGAGCAACTTAATTAGTAATCTAGCATGTATACATATTATGCTTTAAATCACTTTTTCTCAACTATTGTATGGTAATTTTAAGATATGTGGACTTCATCTCCCAGGATTCCCTACTATCATGCTAGCTGGAGACTTCTGGGAGTTGAAATCCCCACAGCATAAAATTGTCAAGAGCAGAGAAATACTGCTTTAAAGCCGTTCATTTTTTACCCTATGTTACCCAGTTACTTAGTGCCCTATGACTATCATTGAGTGTTGAATCTTATGATTTACGCTGAATGTTTTTGTATGTACCCTGAGAGCTTATGCACCAAATTCCTTGTGTGTCAAATCACACTTGGCCAATAAAGAATTCTATTCTTTTTGAATTTGTTTTCTCTTTGCCAGATGGACATTCAACGATCTCTTGAGCTCTTGCACATGACCATATATACTCAAAGTGTCTCACCTTGTGGCAGATATTTAGCAGCCGGAAATAACTATGGAGAAATTGCCGTATTCAGGTATTATCACTGGCTATGCTTTCTTTATTTTATTTTTTTAAAAACAAGACTATCTTTGGGTTAACTTTCACTCTTTTTTTTTGTGGATAGCCTGTCGGCAGCATTAAGTTCAGAAGCCAAGGAGGAGAGCAAGAAGCCAGTAGTGTGCTTTGCAGGTTGGTAACGGTTGGGCTAGCAGAGAAAATATAGAGGGACCTTAGCAAAGTTTCTGAACATAGGCAATTTTAAGATATGTGGACTTCAACATAAACATTACCCTATAGTAAACTGGGGTGTTCCTCTATGGTCAAATTAGGGCTGTGTGTAGTCAGCAGATAGCATGGTTGGCCCGTCTATCTTTAACCCAGAAGGAATTCTTCATTTGGCATCAATGTCGCTGAGTTTCTTTGGTTCAGCTGAGGATTCCCCAGAAGGCTACATCCCTCATGAAACGTCTCTCTTCTTTCCACAGCCCACAGTGGAGCGATCTATGCCATGGTGTCCACCGATCGGCAGCTGTTAAGTGCTGGCAATGGAGAGGTCAAGGCCTGGAACTGGAGCGAGATTGTGAAAAAAGTATGAGTGGGTTGCTTCCCTCCCCCTTCCCTCTTAGCCTGGCTGTACGTTTTCTGACTTCTGTTATTCCTAAAATGCCTTTCCTTGCCTTCCATTTTAGAGTTGCAAAGAAGCTTGGAGTAGGAGGCCACCTTATGGGTAAAGCCTAGTTTTGCTGTTTTTTTTTTTTTTTGCTATTATTTTTTTCCTGTGCTTGGACCTGTTGAGATTTGCCTTTCGTTTCCTCTTTAGAAGTAGACTTGAAGTGCCAGAAATCAACAGCCTGCAGTTGAACCTGAAGGTAGGGCCATTGGGATGTCTTGGGATGGATCAATACAACTCAAGAGGTTTCATCATGCCACATTCTTTCCTTTCCCTGCTACTTTTTCTAGGATAATAGTCTACTGATGGCTGGAGGTGACTGTGTCATTCACATGATGGACTTGGAGACTGGAGTATTTACTGTGAGTCCTTTAGGTGTGGGAGAAATAAGCCAAGATGCCCTATGTTTTATGGAGCTTTCAGCCTTTCTGGTTTCCTCAGAATTCTTCTTAAGATCTGGATAAATGTTGATAATTTAACCAGCAGATCATGTCAGGTACAAAAGATCAGGTCTACACATGAAGCTTCAATTAATCTGATTTATTGTTGATCTTCCCATATAGAGGAATCTTTTTAATTCACCTGCTTGGAGTTAAATGCAAGTCAATGGAATTCAAGGGAAGTTGGACTTAGTTCACTTGTGACTAAATAGGGATTCTAGGCTGATCCCTCTTTTGACTATCCCCTCAGGTTCTACCATTCCTTCTGCAAATCAGTTCTTATGATCTAGATTTAGGGTAGGAGAGAGGGAGGTGATAGATAGATAGATAGATAGATAGATAGATAGATAGATAGATAGATAGATAGAAATGGCATTAAAACACACAAATAGACTCTAAACATTGATTACCAATGCATCTATTTTGCATCTATTTTGAATTCTCTCCCTTGTGCATTTGCCCCTGTTTCACTTTCTAAAGTTCAAATGTGATTTTTCTCAACCTGGGAGCTTTTCAGCACGTGCCCTTCATTTTCAGTGCTGTTACTCAGAATCCAGAAGTTGAATTCAATAGATCTGGAGGTGTCTATGGAGATTCTCGGTCATCCAAGTCATGGTTGTCCCAAAGGTGATTTTTCAAGAGGAACTGGACTTTCTTGGGAATAGATCTTCAGCTTTCTTCTGTAAAGTCTGGTGAAACATGGTTATGGCTTTTATGAAAAGGAATCAGTTCTTTCGTCAACACATACCAGGTTTCCCCCAAAATAAGACCCGGTCTTAATTTTTTTTAACCTTAAAAAGAGGCATTAGGTCTTATTTTAGGGGCATGGCTTCCACTGTTTCACTTCTCAGTGGCAGCACCAACAGTCCCGAGTCTGTGTGGCCACTGCCGGCCTACTTCTGTGGTTGCTTGCCGCCGTTTGCGTGCATTGTCTGCTTGCCTCTGTTTTGCCATCAGAGCCTTTAGGAAGGGCCTCTGCAGCCAAGAAACAAACTCTGATGTGAAATGGAGGCCAGGGGGCAACATGCATGTCAATCCAGAGCTCGTTTCTCAGCTGCATCGGCCTTTCCTGAAGGCCTCTGACAGTGAAATGGAGGCTGCGGGCAACGCACGCAAGCGGCCATAGAAGTGGGCCTGTGAGGCAGGTGTTGGGGTATGGGAGGCCTGTCTGCAGCTGTCCTAAGGTAAGTGGGTATGGGGCATGTGGGGCAGCTGCATCCCCCCCTTCACCCTAACTTGTTTTTTATCTGTGCGCCTCGCCCCACCCCGTGCAACCCAGTGCAATGGAGTGGATGAGGTCTTAACTATGGCTTATTTTGGGGGTAGGGCGGTAGGGCTTATATTGGGTGCATGTGTAAAAATCAAGTTAGGTCTTATTTTTGGGTTGGATCTTATTTTCAAGGAAACAAGGTATAATTGGTGCTGTCTGTCCTATCCCTGGTCTGAAACCTGCCTTAAGTGGGTCTAGATAATCCTTCCATGGTCCTCTGAAGATGTAGTCTGACTATTTCTCAACAATCTTGTCCAGGAAGGGAAGGCTGGAGGCTGCACAAAACTTGTCAAAAATCATTGGGTCCAGCAATGATTTCTTGAAGAAAAAGGGTATCGCCTCCTCTCTTATTCACCACAGCGTGGATCTAATGAACAGATAGCTCAACTGCCTTAAAGATCCTGCTCATTCTTCCGTTTAATGACCTTCCACAGGAGAACCACACTTCTCAGAATTCACTGGGAGACATTGGAGGGTTTTTGGAAATCGTATAGATCAGAGACCTAATATCTTGTTAGAAGTAATAGCAACTCTTGACTGTGAGGTTCTCTGGTGCCCTCTGTCTCTTTCACTGTTAACCAAATCTAGAATGCTGATTTTCATGGGCCGTTATTGGACCACCTATATAGATAGACTTGAAGTCACTTTGCCCCTTCTCTGTCCCTTCCTCCCCTTCTCTCAGCATGAATTTCAGGGCCACACTGATTACATCCACTGTTTGGCCCTTCGTGAGCAGCTCCGAGAATGTCTGTCAGGAAGTGAGGATGGGACCGTACGTCTTTGGGGTAAGTGTCTACTGGGTCAAACTCTGGCTCTCTCTTCCTTTCATGTGGCCCCTGTTTCTTCATAAAACATCTAACGGTCTTTACACCAGGGGTGGGCAACTCCTCCTTGCTGGCTCAGGAATTCTGGGAGTTGAAGTCTACAGGTCATAAAGTTGCCATAGTTGTCCAACCCTGCTTTAGACAAATGCAGTCTCCTCTGGATATGTGAACTCCAATTTCCAGAATTCTCAGCAGAGACCGTGTTGGCTAGGAAATCCTGGGATTACCTCCACAAATCTGACAAGCTGTCCTACAGGAGCATAATATACACGCCTTACATTAAATTCATCAATAGTCCACTTAACTCTAGAAGTACGGTGACTCATTGGTTTAAAAGATGCCAGAGAACATCTGTGCTCTGGAGGTTCGAGTCCTACCCACTGCGTGATGGAGTGAGCTTCTATCACTTGCCCCAGCTCCTGCCAACCTAGCAATTCAAAAGCATGCAAGTAGCTAAATAAGGACCTCTTTGCTGGAAAGACAGTGATCTGTGTTTTGCTGCCTGCTCTGCACTGTGACGTGATGTCATGCTAGCCATAGGATTGCGGAAACATCTTCAGACAGCGCTGGCTCAATGGCCAAGAAACAGAGATGAGCACTGTCCCCTAAAGTCTGCTACGACTAGTGAAACCTGCAGGGACTCCTTTTATGACTTAACTTCACATTGCATGATTTCGCCTGGGATTTCTGGCTGAACATGTCAGGGGTTGATTTGAGACTTGGGTTTATAAACGTTGTGCTTTGTCATTAAGCTGCATTCCTTCCCTTCACCTTTAAAGCAAACTTATATCTGGGTCCTGCCAGGGCAGAACTTTATCGTTGTTGGCCCTACTGTTGTGGAACAGGCTCGGGATGCAAAACGACCAAAATCTGGTTTGACTGGAATGCAGAATGATAAGGTTTCCTAGGGGGACAGTAAATCCAGATGTTTCTGAACTACAACTCCCAGGAATCCTTCCGTGTAAATTGTATTGGCTTGGTCCTGCTGTGAGCTTCAGCAGAATTTGAAGAGCTGTGCATTTATAGTCTGTTTGGTGGTGCTTCTGTTTCTGCCCCTAATTTGTTGCTTTCCAGCTGCAAATGCCGGGCAGTTCAACACTTCTGAAGAAAGTTGTTTTGATTTTCAATCAGAAAGAAAATGCTGTTTTAAGGACTGGTTTCTCTCCCCCCGCCCCCCTTTTAATTTGGTTTTCAGATTTACGTATAGGAGGTCAAGTCCAATCAATTGCTGTCCACAAATATGAGGTATTTTCACCTTAACCTGAATTTTGAATTGTAAACCTTCTAGTCATTGATTGAGTTGGGTGGCTATAAAGAAATTGATTGATTGATTGATTGAATGAATGAATGAATAAATAAATAAATAGATCTTCTTTCTCCAAAACTCAGAATGTATAATATTGCTGCACTTATCCTTTTTTTTCAGATTTGCCCATAGATATTTTAAAAAATTAGGAATTTAAATCTCATTGATTTCAGTGAGCTTGTTGTGAGGGAACTAATCAGAGGTCAGTTTTTAATACTGTGAATCTAACTACTCCTTAACTCAGCAGTTTTCCTCTAAAAACTCTCCTTAATTCTTTTAGGAATGCAGACGCCCTCAGAACGGGAAGTGGATCAGTTGTTTGGCGACAGATTCTGACTGGATGGTGAGTCCCTCAGCTTCTCAGTGACTTGCATCTCCAGAGATACACCAGGCAAGGGTGCCCCAGTTGTTTGCCTCATCAATGGGGTTTTCATGATTCTTGGGCTACCTCTCTTCATATCATTGGCTCATCTGCATACTATTCAAAAGAACAATAAAAAAACTCAAAAGGAAACAAAAAGACTAGAAATACCTCCTTGCCAGCAATCAATAACCAGTTAAGCAGAGATTAATACCAAGATTATTTGTAGACTAACAATCAAGCAGTAAACAATATCCCTATCAAGGAACTACCAAAGAAACAATAAACAACAGAGTGAACAAAGAACCACTAAGAACATTCCCACCAACGTTGACAGGGCAAACCAAGCCACTGATATATTTATTTTTTAATTATATTTCTATGTAGCCCATCTTCCCTAGAAGGGGATTCTTATATAAACAAAGAGCAAACCCTATCCCCTATCTAGCACTGATGATATTACCTAACTGGGTAATGAAACGTCTGCAAGAAAACATCCAAGCTCAGAGAGCACCAAGGACCCCATAGCTTTGTTCTTTTGGAGTCCCTGATCTCCAGTTTATTCTGAAGTGGGAGATCGGTTTGTGGATTGAGAGTTCAGGCTTGTAGAGAGCACCAGATTGGGGAAAGAATACTGTGAAATATATATATTTTTAAAATGTCACAGGTGTGTGGCGGGGGCCCAGCGCTCACTCTTTGGCACCTACGTTCAGTGACACCCACCACTGTATTTCCCTTGCCTCAGTGCCAGCAGCAAGCCATGTTCTATCAAGATCTGGTAAGTCTTACATCCCTGAGTTTCAGAACCTGCACCGCTGCCCCATGATAGACATCCTCACTTTGCTTTGCTGCTTCTGCCTCTTTATTTAATCAGTATTAGCCTCACCCTTCTCTTCCGCCTCTATTTTTTATGTGTGGGTCTCTGAAAGAGACCCACTGATCTGCCAAAGCTCAGTGCAAAGATTTCCAAATTGGTTTAGAAATTCAACAAAAGTCAACATTAAAAAAAAATGTTAGTGAGAATGTATGGCTGGAGATGATCCATGTAAGAGGCATGGTTTAAAAAACACCTAAAATATCTTGCACTTACCATACAGAGGGGATAATTTCACAAGGCTGATGCACAAGGAGGTTTGTAATATACCTGTACTGAATAAAATCAGATTTCCTTCTTTTTGTATTCCTTTTCCTTTTTTTCTTTTGTCACTGTTTAACTTTCTACCATCTGATCCCCTCCCCGCCCCCAAACAATCTTTCCTTTTTCTGTTAATTGTATTTTATCTTTGAAATTCATTAAAGTGGGTTTTTAAAAAGAAAAAGAAAGTTAACAGTGCAAAGAACAGGAGATTCACCAAAGATTGTGTATCAAAGAGGGTTACTGTCTATGGAGATTGTCATGGTTGTTCCAAAGGTGCTTTTTCAAGAAGCAACTGGGCTTTCTGATTTTTCTTTAAAATAATTTCACTTCTCATCCAAGAAGCTTCTTCGGAGAAGAGCTGAAGAAGCTTCTTGGGTGAGAAGCAAAATGTCTTCAAAGAAAAAACAGGAAGTCTGGTTGCTTCTTGAAAGAGCACCTTTGGGACAAAGAGGAAATACTGCTTCTGTTTTGGGTGACCTAAGATGGCTACTGTTTAACTGTACTGATTTTTTTTTTAAAGTACTTCTGTCTCCTTTCTTCATCTTTCACAGATTCTCTCTGCTGGCCACAGTCCAACCATTAATCATTTACAGATCAGTGGGGAAGTGAAAGCCCAAATCCCTTGCCTCCCTCGTTGTGTCCACTCCATTTCCATCAACGAACGCTCTGCAGAGCATAAGGTACATAGCTGACCAGAGTTACCCTGTGGTAAGATGGACAGACAATAAATTTTATAAGGTACCTTCAGAATTGCAAGCAGAATTGGAACGGGTATGTGTGTGAGGTGGTGGTGTAGATATTGTGGCCTGTTCATTGGATGAACGGGGTGGAGCTCAAATCAGATAGGTGGGGCCTACTATAAGAAAGGGATCAAGAGATAAGATAACCTTTATCAGCTGCGGTAGCGCAGTGATTAGAATGCAGTACTGCAGGCTACTTTTGCTGATCGCTGGCTGCCTGCAGTTCGGCGGTTCTCACTGGTTCAAGGTTCACTCAGCCTTCCAACCCTCCAAGGCTGGAAAAATGAAGACCCAAATTGTTGGGGGCAATATGTTGACTCTGTAAACTGCTTAGAGAAGGCTGTAAAGCACTGTAAAGTGGTATATAAGTGCTATTGCTATTGTCATTTTTTTCTTTGGGCACACTGGCACATATTAACAATGAAATTCTGTTGCCTGCTCTCAAAAGTGTACACATACATAACACACATATAGATATGCTATATATATATATATATATATATATATATATATATACATACATACATACATATGTATATACCTAGACCCTAACATATAAATACGTACAAATATTAATCACTGTCCAGCTTGAATATATAGCAGAAAGAGGAAGCTTGGTGGTTCACGAGTTGATAATGTATGAAAGAAAACTGTGGCTGAATCTGGATATTCTGCTTTGGATACCACAAAGCTCCTCCCAGAAGGAAAACAGGTTATCAAGAGGATGTGTGGTGTCCCAGACAATCCTGCGGACCCTGCTCAAGCATCCATCGCTTATGTGCTGCTTCCTGGATAGAAGGAAATGAACTGCCAATAACCTTTTCTGCCATCTTCACCACTCTGTGCATCGCCTTCCTATCTGAAGCAGTGATGCTTCCAAACCAGACTGTAATGCAATACGACAGGAGCAATGGGGAATTAGAAAAGGTGGCAGTTGTTTCCATTTTGGGAAGGAGGCGGGTACTTGGATCTTTGATTTTGAAGAAACTCAGATCTTGGGAATAATGTGGAAGTTGTTTGGATTCATTCATCATAGCATTTGTATCCTGTCTTAAAGGAGGTTCCAAGTCAGCTAATAAATACAGTGATATAAAACCAAAGCCATCAATTGAACCAGATGAAACGAGAATTTTAGCTGTCTCTTTAGCTGTCCATTGAGAAGATTACACAGTATAGTTGACGAGAAAATGTTCTGAAGTCACACAGTTGCTGGCACCTGTCTGAAAACAGTGCTCGTGCCAATCAACTGCATTTTGAATCAGAGTAGCATGCAAAGCGTGAAGTTGGAGTTGTGGCTAGCTAATCTGGTTCAGCACATCATGTAGGCTCATCCCAAAAATCTTTTTTTTCCCCCTTAAGGTGTTGACAGCAGCTGGAAGCAGCCACTTCATTGATGTCTTCACCAACTTTGGATACCGAGCCTTTTCACTAATTTTTACCTGAGACGCACATAGTGTTCTTTTGTGAATAATCTTGGTTTTGTGAAATTTCAAATCCAGTATGGTCTAAGGGGCATCTCTGATTGCTGAAGAGCTTGCAAAGTTTGCCTGCAAAAGGGGGGGTGGGTTTGCTCCCCCACAAGGGTTGTGAGAGAAACTCCAAAAACAAGCAGGATGACTTAATATGGAAGTGAATGAAAGGAACTGAAACTTGCCTGAAAGCAGATGTCCTAAGTCTACAATTGATCTGCGTGTTTTCATTCCAGGACTGGACTGTTGAATCTATTCATGAAGACATGGAAACCATCACCCCACCCCTTTGTTTTTCTACACTTAAAAATCAACATATTTTCCATCTATACTTTCCTTTTTATTTTCACAAGTATTTCAACAAGATTGTTTGTTGGTCTGTTGGGTTTTTTTGAGGGTGGGGATTGTAGTGGGAACTTTAGCAAGTTTAACTACTTCAATTTATATCTTTAAAAAAATTGCACTGAAAGTTCTTCCCCAAACAGCTGGAATGAACTGCCAGAATTTGGGAGCAAAGCGTAGGATTTAGCAGGTCTTCAGATGGCTCCCCACCCAGTTTCTATCATTTTTATTCACACACATACACTCACACACACACACACACATACATCCTATTTTCCCCACAACAACTTTATGAGGTGGATTGGACTAAGAGTGAATGAGTGACCCAGTCACCCAGCCAGTCTTCATGCCTAAGGTAAGACTAGAAATCTAGCCTGGTGCCTTAACCATTGACCAAACTTATCTCTCATTGGAAGGTATGTTTGGAAATTCCACGACTTATTTTTTAAAATTGGCCATTTTGCCATTACACATTTGGCTACCAGTTGGATACTATGGGGAGGGCAAATGTGACCTTACTCAGTTCTTTCTACCTTACCATTTGGCTAGAATCCAGAATCAGCAGTGGATGATGGGAACAGAGCAGCCAAGATATAAAGAGCTGTTCAGGATATAACCTCTTAGATTTGTAGGCTTTGAGCCTCCTGCAGAAATTTGCCTAGACAGTTTCGGCCTCTTCCATCGTCATAAAGGTTGGAATTACTTTAGAGTAGAAAACAATTTCTTGAGATGAAGGAAAAGTTATTTATTATTTCAAATCATCAGAGCTGACCAACTCTGCTGGACCTTGGGCAGCATACAAACCCCTCCTTCCCCCCACCCCCCAAAAAAATCCCCATAAAAAGAGATTCAAGGTTAAAATCACATTGACAGCTTGGACTAAAAATGACACAAACTAAATCAAATATTCCCTGAAAACCACCAGAAAATTAATCACAGGCTTGGGAACAAAGCTAAATTTTATGGCAGCCCAAAGCAGTTTGTTCCTGAAGAAAGCCCAGCAGGGTTTATTCTTCAGTAGTTTCCACTTCCTCATACATATGTTCATCTTCCATCCTCTTCAGTTCTTCCAGTTCTTCCCGATGGCTTTCTTTAAACTCCCGGAGAGCTGCAGTTTTCTCTTCATGGCCTTGGTTGGCCGAGCAGCCTGGGGATTTGGGGCCCAGGACAAGATAGGCGGTGGCATCTGCCAGCATGGCTGAAACCTCATGGGCGAGGGTCTCCAAAGACAAGGGCCAGTAGGTGTCGTTGCTGGTTTTGTAACGCTTGTTGAAGAGATTGAGAGGCTTCAGGAAGTAATGAGGGAGGCATTTCTCGGCCAGGGTGTGTTTCAGCAGGCCCAGGAGGGTCTTGAGAGAAGAGAGCAGCGTCTCCCAGGCCTCTCTGCGGAGATAGATCTCACAGCTCCACAGCAAAATAGTCTGCAAGAGAGGAAAGGCAACAGAGCCGCCATGCTTAGACCTCACGCTGACTTTGGAGGTTCGGGCCTCATCACGCTCCTAGGTTTATGTCAAGAAGAGGTAGGAGGAAAGGAATTTGGGCAGGGCAGTGGCTATATTGTAGAGCGGGGTGAGAGGGAGCTGAGATTTTATGAAAGAAGTCGGCAGTTGATGCTATTGGGACTAAAACACACACAGCTCTCTCCTAACACACACACACCATGGCAGCAGAGAGGGAAAGGAGATGGCAGAAGGAAGGTGTTTTTATTGCTATCCAATTTTACATGCTCCCACGTGGGGTAAAAGTAGTTGGTATGTACTTTTATACAAGTGCAGCAAGTAGTCCTTAGCTTACCCATTCCTTTAAAGACCAGAGTTATAACAGCACTGAAAAAAACACTGACCTTCCCCGCCAGCTTCCAACAAGCCAAATTAGTGAGGGAAGCCAGATTCACTTAACCACCACATGATGCACTTAGCAATTGCAGAGATTCACTTAAAAAGGTGGCAGTAAAGGTCATAAAATCAGGTATGATTGACTTAAGAACTGTCTTGCTTAGCAATGGAAATTGTGGTCATAAGCTGAGGACTACCTGCACATGGGGAGTTTCAATGTATCTTCATGAGCGTGAGGTGGAAGCTTAATCCGGCCTAGCGCAGGAGTTAGTTCAGAAGATTCACCTTAAGATGGTAGGAAGTCAGGATTTTGCCATACTCTGGGGTCCATCTAGTCTGGTTAACAAACTTGAGCAGTCGTAAAGCTGCCCGTCTCTGCCCTCCATCAGCGTCGACTTCCTTAAGGATCATCATCTCAGCACACCTGAAAGACAGCCTGGTTCCAGGGGGGAAATGGTGGTTAGGAATATTGTAATCGTTCTGCAAACAGGAGCTTTAGAACCATGTATCCAGCTCAAGGGTCCTTCCGGTATATCTTAAGTTTGCAACTGGCCTTCTTTCTTAACTTGGGCAGAAAAAGTGAAATCGATGGACTCTAGACCTATGCATAATCTGGGAAAAGATGCGGCTGCTTTAAAGAGTTCCAAAGAAGTACTATGGTAGATTGGTACCTCTGGGTCACCTGGATATGATGGGAATTGTGAGCAACAAGTCCAGTGTTTTTCAACCTTGGCCACTTGAAGATGGGTGCAGTCAAGACATGCTGGCTGGGGAATTCTGGGAGTTGAAGTCTTCAGGTGGCCAAGGTTGAGAAACACTGAAATATAAGCAAGAGAAGCTCACAACTTCTCAAAAGAGGCTTTCCAGTGTCGTTCTTTCATTAAGGGAGATGACATCAGCATAGGCCTCCTTAGATGAGGGTTCAATAATCCCATTAAAAGCAGAGTTTGGCAAATGCTTAAAACATTTTTATTAAAAACCCAGATAAGCAGCCTCAGGTTCTAGTGGAAAATCCTGGCCCTGTTCCAGTCAGGTGTTTTATTCTGCATCCCTATCCAGCGTCCCACAGGGCTTAAAACCATGTCCTCAACCTTGGTTACACCGTTCTTTCCACCAAACAACTTGGGGTTTTTTACCTCCAGAATCCTCCCTTTGGGACGAGCTCTAGCCCCGCTTCCTTAAGGGCTTGGACCTTCTGGAGGAAGCTCTTCTTTTCATGGGTGAGGTCACCATCCCACCAGTCAGAAAGGTGAGTGAGATCCTCCCTCATCCATTCGTTGGAGAATTCTATTGCTCCCCGAACGGCTGGCACCAGCTTCACCGGGATAGTTTCATTCCCTTCGTTGAAAACCAACCGGATGGCTGGACCACTTAAATCCAAGGTCTCTAATCTGATGTTCCCTAGAAATGTGTCGGAGGAAAGCAGATCCAGGGTATTATTAGCCAAAGTGATGCACAACCTTGAGTTGTAACTACAGCTAGTCCTTGACTTACAAATGCAATTTAGATCTGTTGTTAAGCGAGGTAGTTAAGTGAGACATGCCCAATTTTATGATCTTTTTTTTTTTGCCAAGGCAGTTGGCAATAGTAATAGCACTTAGACTTATATACCGCTTCATAGTGCTTTACAGCCCTCTCTAAGTGGTTTACAGAGTCAGCCTGGTTGCCCCCAACAATCTGGCTCCTCATTTTACCCACTTCAGAAGGATGGAAGGCTGGGTCAACCTTGAGCCTGGTGGGATTCGATCTGCCAAATTGCAGGCAGCTGGCTGCAGCAGAAGTAGCCTACAGTACGGCACTAATTACTGCACCATTAAATGGTCATTAAATGAATCCGGCTTTCCCCATTGATTTTGCTTGTTGAAAGCCAGCTGGGAAGGTTGCAAATGGAGATCATGTGACCCCAGGATGCTGCAACCCTCATAAATTCATGCCAGTTATCAAATTGCCTGAATTTTGATCATGCCATGGGGATGGTACAAGGGTCATAAATTTTTAAAGCTGGTCATAAGTCATTTTGTCCAGTGACAATGTAATTTCAAATAGTCACTAAACAAATTATTATAAGTTGAGTACTGTATTGCATGGTGGGGAAAATAAAACTAGCAGATCTAAAGGCTTAATTGAATAGGAAGTACACACACACACACACACGAATTTTAGGGCGTCTTTGCATAGGGACCCTTACTGGTAAAGTAGGGAACCATCTAGGATTTGAACCCTGGTCTGCCACATGAAAGAGTTCTTTAACTACTACGCTATCCAGTTGTTAATAAATTATGATATATAAATAATGCACAAATATACCATTATATAAACTATATTTGCATATATAATTATGACATAGGTTAATATATGTATGCATGTTCATATGAATGAAAAAAATATTCATATGAATGAATATACAGGATAGATAGATAGATATAGATAGATAGATAGACAGACAGACAGACAGACAGACAGACAGTATATATGTATGGTATTCAGCTTTGTTCAGGTATTTTCCCACGTCATTATAGTTGTGCTTTTGGCAAAATCTCATCTGCCATCATCAGGATTGTATATTGTGTTCATCTGTGAGTACACAATACACAAGCCTGATGATGGCAGATGAGATTCTGCCGAAACGTTGCAACAACTTTAAAAGCACAACTATAATGACATGGGAAAATACCCGAACAAAGCTGAATGCCATACATATAAATACCCGTGAAAACTTAAGAAAACACACACATACACACACTCACACACACATATATAAATGAATCATCAAATAAATCAAGACAGAGTTCAGACTTGAGGCACAATTATCCTACTTTGGACAAATTATGCAAAGACTCAGCTCTCCAGAGAAGGCTTTGAGGCTGAGAAGAAGAAGGAAAGAGAAGACGGCCACCACCAAAATGGATGGAATCAGTTAACATGGCAATGGAATCACCCTTGGAAGACTTGAAGGACCAAGTTAGAGACAGATCATCACTTAATGGCATATAAGGGCATCCTTAAAATAGATTCTTTGGGGATAGTGAACTGGGATAGTGCCCTTCCTATTGCAAACTTTG